GGGGTGGGGGTGAGGGGCCCACCAGGAGCAAGTGTGGGGAGAGGAGCGGCTGGACCCAACCTGGCGCAGGGGGCGGGTGTTCCCCGATAGGCTTCTGGCCCCTTTCCTCTCACTCCAGAGCCGCATACTGCATTTGTGTAAATCGGGACTTCTGTCCGTTCATTGCCTGTCATTCCTGCACCAGCGTTACACTTACTAATACATTGGCTCTGTAGGAAGCTATGCAGGCAGTTCCACTCTGCTCTCACATTAGTTTCTGGCTTTACTCTCTGATAGGAACTTTAAGATCCTTTTATCTAGAGCTCTGTTGGGAGTCTAGTTGGAATGACGTGACGTCTGTATTTTGGAAGAAAAGATGTGACATCTTCCATCTGAGAATTTGACTTGGCTTTCCCTGTGGATATGTTTTATATTGTCTAATGTGATTTTATAGTTTTCTTCACATGGGTCCCTTGCCTTTCTATATAAATCTACTCTACAGGGATTTTATAATTTATCACCACAAATTATAAGTGGAGTTTTAAGTGGAATTTTTTCCCTAGTTCTATTGCTTATGTAGAGAAAACCTATTTATTTTATATCCAGCCACTTTATCAAATTCTTCTATAATTGAAATAGTTTTTTTGTTAAGAGTGCCTTTGGAATTTCCAGATACATTTATCAGCACAAGGTGGTGTCCTCTCTGCTTTTCTGGTGCGAACACCAGTCACCTCCCTGTGAGGCCTGAGAGGGAGAGGACGTGGCATCCGCTACATGACGTGCTGTTTTGCCATCTGCTTAAATTTGTTGTGGGACCTGCTTTTTTAGGAGAGGTGGTGGAATTTCCAGATGCTTTTCTCTTAGCATCTGTTACTGTGATAGGATTTTTCTCCTGAAGTCTGTGGATGTGACCACTAGGTTGAGCAGCCTTTCTGTGACTGTTTTGTCCTGGAGTAAATCTGGCTGGTTCTTGCTGCACTGTGTTCCACTGGCTACTAGTTTCACTTGAGTGCCTGTCTTTGTACGGGCTCCCAGTCTCACCTGGTCAGCTTGGGTCTGGATGTGGGGTGCAGCTGAGTACAGTGAGCCTGCTATGACTTTATGGCCCAGGGTAGTTTAACTTACGCTCGAGTCAGCTGCTTGTGAAGTTAGCTGGGCAAAGACAGCTTGCAGATCATTCATGCTAATTCCTTAGTTGGGCTCCAGGTCATGGGCCAGCTGGAGTGTTTCTGTTTTGCCAGAAATTAACTCGTCCAGCTCTAGATTTCCAAGATGGTTTTCCTGGTGTCTCAGTGCTCACGTCTCCTCTCTCAGTCCTGATCACATCTGTGTTCCTTTTTCCTGAATGGTTTGTGAAGGGCTTGTCTGTTTTTACTTTGTGTAACTGTTTTCAGTTTCCACCTTTAACTTCGTTTGTTATCTCTTCTTTCACGTCTTACTCTCTGCCACTAAGGACAGTCAAGTCTGTACACATGCAGTGCGTGCCTTTCCCTCTCGCTGCCTGTTAGTTGCTGGTAGTTTCAGTTTCTTTCTAATTCAAAGAACTAATCTTAGATGTTATTTACTGTTATATTTTCTTCAGGACTATTTTATTGTCTTTTAAGCTTCCCTGTGTTAGAAATGAGCTACTGAGATACCTGCTGGGTGGCCAGTCAGGTCTGCACAGCCACAGGCTTTGACAGCTGTGACCTGTCTGCAGGCCTTGCTGGGTCGGACCTGGGGGCTCGGAAGAACTGTCCCTGGTTGAATGTGGTGATGCATATTGATAAAGCTGGGGGGTTGAAACCTCTGTCCCTCTGTATCCGTGGGGTGTCAGGATGAGGGCGGTGTGTCACGGTCACAGCAGGGCTGCCCTGCCTGCACCGCTTCCTGGGGAGTGGCTTCGTGCACTATAGCCTGCCTTGGAATGCTTTTTGCCCTCATGTCTTGTCTGATACCTTCTTCCATCTTCTACTTTCAGATTGTTGGAGTTTTAGGGCTTTTTAATGGCACACACACGGATTTTGGTTTAATTCATCCTGAGAATCTTAAGTGTGTACTTATCTTTCCAGTTGGTATACTGCCATTATCTTAACTTGTGCTTTCTGATTAACCTTTTTCAATATTTCTATTTCTTCCTTTTCTCTTTCTCCTGGTTTGGAAATTGGATGTTTTACTTCTAGCCTTAAATCAAGTACATCTATTTAAACTGTGAAGTTACTAGTTAATACCCCTCCCTCCCT